AAAAAATCGTGTTAGTGTAAATAGTTCTCTAGTTAGCAAGAGGACTAGAATCAAAAAATTATCAAAAAATAATATGTATCCTAGGCTATGTCCTGAATATTTATATTTATTTTCACATGTATTAATAAAATTTTTTCTTACCATTTTTCTGAGACTGTGTGGTCCCAAAAATCTGAAAATTTTATAACCTATTTCTCTTGATAAAATATTACAGTTTCTATGTATATTTATATATACTAATTAACTTTTAAATATTTCACTTCTTATATAAAATTTATCAATTATATTATCTAAGCTTAAGTTATTGAGATAACGTATTATTGAACTTGAGGTTAAGAATGCTGAGTTTAAGGCTGAAAAAGCTGAACTTTAAAGTGAATTATGGAAAAGAATATTAAACATGATATTAGAGTTGAGGAATTGAAGCAAAAAAATAAGAAGCTTGAAATCAGACTTGCGATAATAGAATAGGTTTCTTTATTAATAGAAGAGTAGTCATATAATAATAATCCTTCTGACGATAGTACATCTAACTTTAATTCAGTTGTGAATATCATGAGAAACTATTGGTAGATGTGGAAACAGATAATTCCTTTTCTGAAGAAGTTTGCTATAATAAACAAAAACTGATAACAGAAGTGGTGATAGTACCTACTAACTCTACAAAGTATCTTAATAGCAAATTATTAAAAGAGAAAAATATAGATAATTTCTTGCTTGAGACTTATAAGAAAATTGTTAGTAGTGAAATAAAATGATGCAATAAGGAAAAGAAGAATGAAAAAAATGGGTAGGGATTGATTTAAGAAATCTCTTCATTTGTATTCAAAGATAATTATGTGACTAAAATTTCTGAGACTGTATAGTCCTGCAAATCTGATAATTCAGATGCATTAGTGTTTTCATTTCATGGGACTACTATAATAGAGATATCTCAGCATTTAGCACAGTTATGTGATAAAGCACTTATTACAGAAGAGTATAAATTGAAAGCAAATCAAGAAAAAATATTTTGCTAGTATCATTATGAAATAAATTTCATATTTCAGTTAGAGGCCTTGTATGATAAAAATAAAATTAGTGAAAAAAAGGTAAGAGGTCTAATATATGATGAAATCATAAAGCAAATTAATATCTTTCGTAAAAAAAATTTTAAGATACAGGAGTGTTACTTCTAAATATAATAAGAGATAGTTTGCGTAAAAAAATTCAGAGAGCTGAGAAGATCCACAAGCTTCTTGAAAAAATAGGATTAGATAAAATTCAGTATATCAAGTTGTATAGTGTAAATGAAATATAAAGTTTACTAATAATGAAATCTAAAAAATTATAGATCATTTCTCAAAATAAGCCCAGTATAGATTTCAATAAGGATCAGAACAATTTTATTAATGATGATTTTTCAGTTAAACTGATATGTTAGAGATGCAAGTGAATTCCTTGATTTTAGTAAAGGTAAACTAATCAACAGCACCTATTCCTTTAACTTATGACTCTAATTCTTCTGATGATTCTAAAGAAGTCAGCCTAAGCAATTTGCTCAAAGCTGAGGATATTTTTACAAAATACTTTTAGAAGATTATGCAAAGGATTGTGTGTATTTTGATAAGGAAATTGATTTCACATCCCAGTCAATGAAAAAAATGAATAAAAAGCTATTTCATAATCTGAGAGAGAAACAAATAAAAGTAATTCAGATAATAACTCTGATTCTAATAATTCTGAAGAAGAGATGTCAGATTATTTGAATGATGATGAATACGGTGGATATAATGAATATGATGAATGTGATAGAGGTTATTATCATGATAGAAGATATAAAAGAAAAATTTACCAATGATAATTCTTATTATCTCTTCAGTAATCACCCGCTAAAAGTACTAAAAGCAAAAGAATTATTAAGCAAAATTACATATTCACATAGATTGAATTATCATATAGGTTATTTCTTTTTTTGAATCATGTGGGTGGTTTAGCTAAGAATATATCATGCGCAATAAGTATATTATATATTTTTCTGTAGTAATTTTACAAATATGTTCTGATCTATTTTTTTTAAATTTTAAATTCACCTGCTTATCTATAGATAATACAGATTATAGTTTATAAAAAGAATAAAAGACATATTCAATTTACACTATTGGCCAATGAGATTCAGTTCAGAAGCCTTACAGTAATAAATACAGAATTATAAGAACTTATTCGTTAAGGTCTAGTAATTGATAAAGTTTACAAAGTATTATCATATGATCGAAAAAATATGCCTTGAGTTGATAACTTTATTAATCTTTAGATTAAGCTTAAAAACTAATGTGATGATCTAAGAGAAAAAGCATATTACTTCTTAATGAGAGAACTCTTTAGTATAAAGGCATTTCTTGATGCATTCAGTCAAGATGGACTCATCTTTAAAGCAGAATATTATAGAAATAAAATAGATAATTGTATAGTTGGCTTCATCACTCAAATGGAAAAAGGAAAAAAGGATGGTTAAGATGTGAATCAGTTACGATATTATACCAAGTGATAACTATGAAAAGGGTGGTATATTTACTTAATGATGCTGAAAATAAAGGTCTTAAAACTCGTGAACAAATAATCATTTTCTAAAGAAAATTCATCGCTAATATAGAATATTTCTTTTTGAATTATACAGGTAGCTTAGATAATATGTGTAGTAATTAAGTATATTATCACTATACTTCTCTACAGTGGCATGATCCCCTGAATAATAATTATATGTTTTCACAGTGCTTTATTTTTTAGATCTGTTTTTGTAAAGAGAGCTACTGGTAGATTACTGCAAATTTATGGGGTTAGATCATTGGTAAATAATTAATCCTGAAATTGATTACATAATAATTCATGTACAATGATTATAAATTTCTTAAATAAACCTATAATTAAAGCGTTAAAGTATTAAAATAGTATAATAAGTACATTAAAGAGTTTAGAAGAATAAATGAACTATTTTTTACTTAAGAATCTAATCTTGAGCCGTTTGATCTTGTTCAGATTTCTAAACATCTTTTGAACTGTTTAAGTTTTAAATTAAAACAATCATTTGTCTAGTAGTTCTCTTTAAAGAAAAAGCATGTTTTTGACTTTGCCTTGATACCTCATTATAGTTTGATATTTATTTTCATATTATGCCTGATTTTTCTAAAGCTATTAGAATTATGAGAGATTAAGTTACAACTATACATCTTAATGTTTCACCTGAGAATGAAGCTCTATTTATTATAGATTATAAAGAGACAAAAAAAGACAAAGCATTTAATCTTTGTTCATATTTTCCTAACTGTAAATTTACTAAAGAAAAGTGCAGTGAGTATGTAGATAAAAAAAAAATATTTGTTATACTAATAATGCTTATTTGACTAAATTCTACCAATTTAATATTGATTTTCTAGATCAGGGAGACCATTCCAATATTGTTTGTAAAGCAAAGGTGATAACTAGGAATAGAAGAAAAGAAAAATGCAATTTTTATTTTGCTACAAAACTTGTCATGGATAAACTAAGCAATGATAAGTATGTTGTATTGCTAAGAAGAGAACCATTTCAAGAGTTATTGCTGATTCCACGTCTAATGATGATGAAAGTGTTAACTACAGACATTATAATAACGAAGCTTTGGTACAAGAAAAGGGATTTTGAAAAGACTTGTTGAGTAAGCGAGAAAGTTTAAAATTTAATTCTATAGCAATTAACTATGGATCATGGGAAACTGGACAATCACAGAATAAATATGCACAAGAATGTCATACGCATGTTCATTTGTATTTTACTCCAGAGGCTTGGAATGGAGTGAAGGAAAAAATAAAAGAAAGGAAAAAAAAAGAAGAAAAAGAGAAAATAGAAGAAAAGGAAAAAATAGAAGAAAAGTTGGATATTTTATTGAAATTTGATGCTAGGGATCACCTTGGACCAAATTATTTACTTCAGGATTGTGACGAGTTGGAAGAGAAAAGGTTACGACCAGCAGAACATCTGCTTTATGCTGAAAGCGGTGTCTAATCTAACGTCGAAAATTGAAGATAATAACAAGAATCTCATTGAAACAATGAATAAAAATACCGTATTACTTATAGAAGCAATAAAAGGTATAGGAAAATCAGGTGAATCCAAGGAAAGTTCCGATAGTAATATTATTGGTAAATAGCGCTAAGTTTAATAGAATTATTTCGCATCATATAACAGTCGCACTCCATGTAATCGAAATTTTATTTAGTATTAGTTGCTGTTCCCAGCAATAATTTATTTAATGAAATAAAGCATTATATATTGGCTTAATTTTATATATTTGGAGTTGGTTTCGTGTATTTGTTAATTTCACGGGCAATGATGCAATATCGTGAATATGAGATGTTGAGAGATTTTGTATTCGAATACTAATGAAGTATAGCGGTAAGTGTGAATCGGAATATTGCATTGTTTATTTACCTCGGTTGCTAATCTCCGGAATTTATGCTATAGATTCGAAATTAATTAATCTCTGGAAAGTTCTCTTATTGGGAATAATCTTTTTCATAATCTGTGTGGATGGTAGTGATAGACAAAAATTTCGTAGATATGGGTGGGATAATTTATTTCGAAAATCTAGTGTAGTAAAAGAGTATAGGGATGAATCTTTTAGTTAGTTATAGAAACAAATTAGCTGTAGATATTTTTCGAAAATGTGAGAGAGCAAAGAAATAGCTTGATGCTGGGACTCGCATTAAATGGCCTAGGATCCGCGTACTCCCTCCCTCTTTGATAGCATCAAACGTTTCGCTTGCTACCTCCACTTTTTTATAAAGGAATCGAAAAATAATCATTGTTTATGTAGTTCTTTTATATGTAAATATGTATATCTTCGAACTCCGAAATACAACATCAGTAAAATCAAATGATGTCATACCTCATAAGAATATATAATATTGAATATTCAAAAAAAATGTTTTTTAAACTTCTTTCTTAAAATTTTAATCAATGTCTTCTTTTTTCATTTATAAAGAAAGTTTTACCAATATCATATCTATCCTTCTCGTAATTTTTACTGCGTTCGTGGTCTGTTGTGATTATTAAGACATCTGGATTTACTATTTGGGATTATTACTTATCTAAAGACTTTTGTCACTTTTAGTTCTTTCCTATTACTTTCGTTCTTCTCTTGATCGCTATTACGTCATACATTGGATGTAAGGGGATTACTTCATTGGCTTGTTCACTTGTGTAACGTAAAGTCGTTAAAAACGGATTTCTCGTATTAAAAATTTTCATACTCTATTCCAATAACCATGGCGAACATGTTTAAAGTTTATTGCGAGAAAATAGATCTTGAAAATCTAGACCTCAAGAAGGTTTATACCTTTGAGGAGTTCGAATACATAAACGACCAACTTAAGACTCGCACTATACAACTTAACGGAAAACCAATTAACCTCTTCGAATACGAAAACGGAAAATTAATCCCGATGCCTCAAACTCCGTACGCTAGAGAAAAGGTTGTCTCAGAAATTGTGGCTCAGCTTCGTAACTGGAACATCGAAACGCATCAAAATGGAGGCGTTACCTCTTCGCAAGGTGGCTTTAATTTTGATGTCGGGGGACAGAGAACAATTAGAGCACCCGACGTTTCTTTCACTCCAAAACAAACAGACCGCGGTTTGAACGCGCTACAAAATTGGACCTTCCAAGGTCAACCCTTTACCCCAATATTTGTTGTTGAGGTTGGTTTTATTGAAAGTGAATCGGAATTCCAAGTATTTGATGATAGATTTAGAAATGAATTCTTTGCACCGGAAACGTCTGTGGAGTTAGGATTTCTGGTTAGCATCGGGCAAGATAATAACGGCCAACTACAGGGAAATATCCATTCATGGAGATGGTACGAAAATAATACTGTACGTCATTATGAACATGGATGGAGAAGTATGAATACCAGGGTTAGCGGTCAAGAGATTCTTCCAGGCTTCTTCTTGGATGTTGATATGATTGAAGAAGCTATTTCGCAAGTATGTTGTGACGATTTATCATTTAAGATTTTATTTTAGATCTTATCATTTATTTATTTCATGAAATGATTACAGCAAGATTCAGGTTTATCAGATGATAATGTTACTAATATTCCTTGTAACGGACCTGGATGTACAGTAACTTTCACTAGTCACCATGCTTTCTTGAAACACTACCAAAAGGAACATGCGCTTAAACGACGTACATGACGTACACAACAGATTATAATGTGTCTTAATGTTGCTAATTTTTTATGTGCAGTAATTTGATTATGTAATATTCATCTTGTAGAAATTTCGCATCATCTAACAACAATGGCATTTCTATTTTTCCATGTAATAAAAATAATAATAGTCCATAGGCATTATATAATTGCCCACTGATTTTTATTTTTCGTAATGTGACTTATAATGCATATATATATTCGAATTTTTCCTTCTTTGCAATTAGATTATACTGTATCAAATGCAGATCAATTAAGATCATATATAGTACACAATCCAACTACTGCGCCCAGCGGACACGCGTGTCCAGATTTTTCATTTTTGTGTATTAAAGTATAAATAATAATAAAAGTTTTGACTTTATTTTTTAACCATCAATGATAAACATAACTTATAAATGCAGTGTGACTGCTCATCGAATAATTAAAACCGTATTGTAGCACAATCCATTTTTTTCTAATATTCATTCGAAAAAAGATAACCTAGGCTTTCTCCCGCAGATCAACAGATCAAGGGACTGTATAAATTTGAATCGTGTTTCATTGGTAAAAGTTGATAAAGAATCACTATAACTCACTAAAAACGATATAAATCATTAAAAAACTGTAAATCGTTATAAACCGCCCAAACACTTGTAAAAGATGGATTTAAATAGTAATACCTACTTTAAGCTTTGTTCACCTGATCGTGATGAAAAATATGAAAGAATAGGAAAAGCTATAGCTCTTTTAGGACATAAACGTGATAATGAAACACCAGAAATGTGGTGTTCTCGTGTTCGTAGTCCATTTAGAAGAATACTTGAAGAGTACCCGGAAACCTTTTCCAAGAATGGATATATTCAAATGTATGCAAACTTTAATGACACTAGTAGTGGTACTGGGAGGTTCCTTCCTTCCGGAATATAGTGCATACAACTTAGTCCCAACAAAAGAATTTTTAAGCGGGCAAATTTGAAATTTCTATCTTCTGTCACGTGACACATTAAACTCGTAATTTTATTGGCCCATTTACATACACGTGACATGATGATAAACAATGAAAATTTTGTGATTGTTATAATTTTTTTCTTCTCACTCATAAAATAGCTTTATTAGAGAAAATTTTTTTGTTTCAATAAATAATTTACCCATATGCCACATCTAACAAAATTTCAAAAACTCTTAAAAAAGGCTCATAAAGCAAAATTTGTATGTCAGAATATCAAATATAATACTAATTACACAAAAATTAATAATGATAATGTATTGATCAATAATAATGTTAATGATAATTTGAAAGATCCCGATGTTGATAATGATTCTTTTGATAATTTAGATAATGAACTGGAAGGTGATGACTTTTCTGTTTATGATGAACCAGTAGAGAATGATAATGCTATGGATATTATAAGAAGACTTCAAGAAGCAGCAAAAAAATATCACAATGAGTATGCCTCTTATGATATCTGTAGATTATGTTACATAGGGAATTCAAAATGCATTAAAAGGAGAAAAAATTAGTAACAACGTGAAGCAGCAAAGGGAACTCTTACATTTAAAGCTCTAAATAGTTCAGATTAATCCGAAAATTTTTGGTTTAGATCAACTTCGGTTCAGTTTCAGATTGCAAAAATTTCAGATTAATCCAAAATTTTAGATTATTTGAAATGATGAAATTATTATTCCAAACGAACGATAAAAGAATCATTCATTTAAAACGATTGAAGTTATCATTCCAAATGAACGATAAAAAAATTGTTTATTTAGAACGATTGAAGTTATCGTTCTAAACGAACAATAAGAAAATCGTTTAATTAGAATGATCAAATTATCGTTTCAAATAAACGATAAAAGAATCATTCGATTGGAATGATTAAATTATCATTTCAAAAGAATGATAAAAGAATCATTCATTTAGAATGATTGAAGTTATCATTCTAAACGAACGATAAAAAAATCGTTCATTTAGAACGATTGAAGTTATCATTCTAAATAAACAATAAGAAAATCATTTGATTAGAATGATTAAATTATCATTCTAAAAGAACGATAAAAGGATCATTCCAAAAGATTCAAAATTTTAGATTAACATTTTTAGGATTTATAATTCGAACAGAACAGAACTGAAATTTTTGGTTTAATTTCAGATTGGCCTATAATCTGAACTGAACTGAACCATTCAGAGCATTACTTACATTGCATACCTTTTGGAATACCAAAAAACTAACAGAAGAAGCTGATGAAATATTAACTGATGAAGATGTAAATGACAATATCATAGATATGGATGATGAACAGTCAGATGGTGAGATTGAGGATTGCAAATGGAATAATAAAATCTTAGCTGCTCTTGAAAATCTAGAACTGGATATTAAAAAAGAAAATATGAAAAGTGAAGTTGGAATATGCCTAAATGGTATTTATCTTTATCTTCAACTTGTAAAATCTAATTATTCAAAAATGAATGCAAGTCAAATTATTTCTAATGTAGCAAGAAAAGAAATTTATCATGCCAGATGTATTCATTCTTGGACATATGAGTATGTAATGATCCGCAAAATTCCTTATTCTTGCAGAGGATATCATGTCAAAATATAAAGTTTTCTTTGAGATGAAGACATTCTGCTTCAGATAAAATCATATGTTCAAGAACATAATTAGGACATTACTTCACAGATGTTAAAAATACAAATGAATAATATTATTTTATCAGGTTTTAGATTTGTTTTGTCTCTAACTATTCATCTCTATACTGCAAGAAATTATTTAAAAGAACTTGGATATACATATGCTAAGGTGAAGAAGGAAATATATATAGATAGACATGAAAGGGAAGATATAGTAGCATATCAAAAAATATTTTTAGAAGAGATAGGTAAACTTAAATATAGAATGCCTATTTTTTAAATGATTTAGAAGAAATAACCTGGCCAGATAATGATACATAACCACTTATTCTTATTACACATGATGAATGCATTTTCTCAGCATATGATAGAAGTCAAAGTCTTTGGATCCCTGATAGAGAACAACCTTTACGAAAAAAGTAATGATCGTTTAATTCATGTTAGTGAATTTTTAATTGATATTTGTGATCACCTTGCAGTATCTGATAAAATGCAAGTACTGGATGATTTTCTATAGAAGCTTATATTATTATGTATTCAAGTAAAAACAATGATAGATAGTGAAAGACTTATGATTTAGTCAATCAGGTAGTTAAATACGCTATTCCTATATTTAAAGCATGCTTTTTAGGATATTAGATCCTATTTACGTTTAAAAATGCATTAAGCCATGATACTTTTTCACCAAATACACTTATTGTTAAACATATGAATCTCAGTTCTGATGGGAAATAGCCAAAGATATGCAGAATATATTTTGGTGATAAAAGGATTCAGCAAGATATAATCTTTCCGTTAGATTATTATATTTCTAAATTACATGAATAGCCAAAAGGATTAAAGCAAGTTTTAACAGAAAGAGAATTGTAGTTAGATAGAAAATTGAAATTGGAAGAAGCATGAAAAATAATAAACTAGCAACCAGATTTTTTGACACAAAAAGGATGATTAAAAGAGATAATTATTGCAGCTAAGCAAATTGTGTTTTATCCTAAATTTCATTGTGAACTCAACTACATTGAGAACTTTTGGAATGCAGATAAAAAATTTAGCCAGTCAAATTGTGATTACTCGTAAACAGAATTACAAAAAACTGTTCCATTAGCTCTTACTTCTGTTTCACTTACATCTATTCATTGGTATATAAGAAAAACATTTTATTATATAGATATATATCAAAAGAATTTAATGGAAAAGGTGGCAGAATTTGCTGTTAAAAAATACTATTCACATCATCAGGTTTCTGATTCAGTTTTACAGTCTGTTAAAATTTAATAAATAAATTAGAGTAAAGAATTTAATAAACTTAAAATGTACTAATATACTATTTATTATAACATTAAAAACTTTGCTTAATAAACTTTTCATGATAAAATACAGAGGGTGGTCAAAAGTTTCCGGACACTTTTTCACCAAATATAAAACTGATAATTCTTTAGCATTAATAGTAAAAGTTCTAATATTATTTTATTTAG